AGAAAGACCTCAGGTGGAATTCTGTCCCGGAAACAGATCCTTCCTCTTACTGGAACCCGCCGGCTAGATGCCAAGTTTTTTACTTTTTACAACATGCCCATCCTTTTACTTGAACTCACCGAGGACGCGAATAAAACAAAGAGGATTCAATATAAGCCTCAGTGTGCGTTATAATAAGCGCTTATTACTGAGAGAGATCAGATTCTCAAGGCTGAATTGATGGAGAAACCACAGCAGCACTCCCAGCTCCTGTCCAGGTTTGTCCCCACCAAGCAGAAGGATGTGCTCCGCTTCACGATCGATGCCTTCCTCTTCCAGAAGAAGCTGTCCAGGAAGGTACTGCCCTCTCAAAGGCTGCTCAGCCTTCCTGCTCCACTGATCCACGGTCTGCTTTCACATCCATGATCTAAATGTGAACCAGACTGTGGTGGCTGTAGTGCCTAGAGCTGCCAGCTTGACTTCACTGCTGGCAGAAGGTCCTTCTCTGTGCCTGTATTGGCCTTGATCCCTGAATGCTGTGACCTTCCCTCTTGCAGCATGAAGTGACTGAGCTGTACATGCACTGTGTCATGTCTCTGGCTCCTGCTAAAGCAACACCAGGGACCAAGTCCTGCACCTACAACAGGGAGGCTAAGAGGTACTTCTGCAAGGAGCCTGCTGAGGGTGCTCTGGGACATGCCAGGTGGAGGCCTGACCTGTCCTCCTCTCCTCCAGGTGGGAGGAGCTGTATGGTGACCATGAGGTCTGTACCTGCTGTGAGTCCAGGTGTACTTTCCAACAGAATGAAGGTGGGTCTGGTTCTCTTCCTCCTTGCTTCCAGAGACTCTGGGTCTCCAGCTGTAGCAGATCCCTCACTGGTGGGTGCTGCTTGTCCACAGGTACCAGGAGCCTGGTGACCAGCAGTCGGGTGTCTGTGGCACCAGTAGAGGGTCCTCTGGGTGTGGAAGGTGACTGGACTGAGGATGAGGAGGGAGACCCTCAGGGCTCCAGTGAAGATGCTGAGAGCACCAGTGAGGATGTGGAGGGAGCAGAGGA